GATAGGTTTTGTGAGAAATGATTCTCCATTCAAACCAGAATTCTAGATTTTATATCTAAGCCCTTAAACAGAGATGCCAAACTGCAGAAGTCATTGATACCTCCCTTCTTTTCCCTCCTCAAGCCCAGGAATATTTGTTTACATGCCAGGCATGTTTTTTTAAGCAGGTTATTCCCACTGTCTCTGGTAGTTTCCTGACATGTGCAGGTTAGCACTCTCCTGAGTACACCCCTGGCTCCTCTGCATGTGTCTGGGCTCTCTCCTTTGTAGCGCTCTCCTCTTTGGTACTATGCCTTGTGATCTCTAGCTGCTGGGGACTCCTTGGACTCAGTAATTCTCTGCAACTCCAGGGTCTGCCAGGCTTCACCTGGGTGTCTTCTGCCAGTGCTGTGGCCAGCAGTCGCTGGCTCACTCTTTTGCCCTCCATCCCCATCCCTCAGGGGTCACTGTCCTCTGTTGCCTGGTGTTGGGGTCTTAAACCTTGCCTGTTCATCTGTTTCTTTGCTCTTCCAGGTGGGAGGGTACATCTGATCCTTGACAGTTTGTTTTGAGCAGAAGTGGAAGCATGATGTTTCATCTTTAAATTAAAGATTTTTTTGGTTTGCTAATATTCTCTTTGAAAACTTCTTTTTGATGTTTGCCAAGACATACTAGGCAAGAATGATACAGCCTTAAAGTTCAGACTTTATTGGTATCATTTTGTTGCCCACTGATTTTATATCCCATCTTTACTTTTTTTTGTTTTGTTTTGTTTTGTTTGGCTTTTTTCCTCTCTGAGGTTGTGGTTTATTGGAAGGGATGTTCACTAACAAATTTAGATTCCTGTTTGCTTACCATGGGGTTATGACCCCTTAAGCCCAGTGAGAGTTTCACACCAGGCCTCCTGAATATCACAGCTGAGCCCCACCTGCTTTAAAGGTGGTAGAGCACTTGAGCCGATGGTTGGGCAAAATCTAACCTGAGCCTATTCTACAATAAAGTTCTTGAAAAGTCAGTATTTCTAAAAAGTAGAATGGGTAAAGTCCAAAAATTTTAAGTCAAACGGTCTTAAATCCAGGACCTGCTATAAACAGAAACCAGTATGTGGTCTTTCAGATGGTGAGGCCTGTGGAGGAGGATGATGGTGAGGGGTTTCTGACTGGTGGAGGTCAGAGGTGGCCTCTTAGATGGCTGTGAAGATTGCTGAGGAAAAAGCACAGTTCCGAGGTAGACACGTGCCTTTGTGTTTATGGAGCAATAGTAAGGGTTTGGGGAGAACCAGGTGGAGGGAACTGTGGAAGAGGAGGTAGGAGGTGTCTGGCCCTGTGCCCCTCACACATTGTTGACTTGGCCCTAGGGTTTAACTGCTGAATGAGAGCAGGACTTCCCTGGGTAAAAATTTGATTTCCTTAGTTGATTCAGGGTTTTATTTATTTATTTATTTATTTATTTGAGTTCTCAGAGATGGCTGGGCAAGGACTGTGCTCTTGCGATCTGGGCCTTCTTCCTGTTTCTTTTCTTTTTTATGATTTATTTTACAATAGAGTGTATTTTGACATATTATACACAAATGGAGCACAATTTATCATTCCTCTGGCTGTTTGTGGCTCGGTCTGTCCATTAGTGGAACCATACAGGTATACAGGGTCCTTCCTGCTTCTCAGCAAGGAAGGCGGAGACGGAAATCCTGAATAGCTGTGGCCTCTACTTGGCTTTCCTGCAGTACTCAGGTAGTGGAAACATCTGAGGCCCAGCTAGCTGCTTCCTTTATTGTCTTTGTCTGTGGATCCTTCTTTATAGGATTTTTGTTTTTTAGTTACCTCTTCTTTTTTTTTTTTTTTTTTTTTGAGACAGGGTCTTGCTAAGTTGCCTAGCTTGGCCTCAAACCTG